GTGTTTAGTCTCTTGTATCTACTTGAGCTAAGAGGCACACTCCTCACGAGTATCACTTTATGTCCCACAGTCCAGTCCAATCCCTGTCTGAAGAGTAGCAGCCACAGTTCTTAACCACTGCACCACCAGGGCTCCTGTGAGGTGCACAGCATCTTCAATTTGTCAACTCTTTTCTACCCATTTAGTAGTGACTCCACGGATAGGAATGCTGCAGATATACTATGCCAGAATACATAGTTAGTTCTCTATATAAAAAACCTAAAATAGAAAGTTATTTGTGTAAAGCAAGATGAACTAATACAGTATAAATATACCTCTGTTAAATTGCTAAAATGATGGCAGAGAATGGTGTTAACTAAAAATGTTATGTTTCAGTTGGGAGCTAAGATAATGCCCAGGGGAAAAAAATTATCTGTAATTATATACATATACAAATTATACATGTATATAATTACAGATAATTTATATATATATTATATATATAGTTTATATTATAATATATAAAAGACAGGTAGAATGCCCTCTCCTGCCTCTTACCATGCTCATTTTTTGTTCTTAGGGTGAAAAGAGGTGGGGTGGGAGAGGCAGGTAGAGGTATAAAGTTATCTTCTAAAGATGTCCTCCCTCTGTCTTTGAAAGCAGTTTCCTCTAGGGGAAAATTAGGAATCTTAATTAGGTTTTAAAAAATTCAAAAACAGCATCTGAGTATTCTTGTCCTAAATAAGGACAAGATGACAAGATTCTTACACATCTTTCATCCCTACAACAAAGGCTAATGGTAGTAGCATTTTTTGAGTTTGTCAAGAAAGGAAAAGATCATAGCAAATAATATTATCAATGATAATAATTAATACTTGTATAGTGCTTTACAGATTACAAAGTGCTTCACAGTATTATCTCATTTGAGACTGGGGAAAAAACTGAGGTGAATCCAAGAAATTGTGATTTGTCCAAGGTCATTTGGGCACAAAAGTAAGTTGGAGATACATTATTTGTTTTCAGGTCTTTACTCAAAAATCTACATTTGTTGTACCAATTGTCTCCCAATTTTGAGATATTCCACTGCTATGCAAAAATAATTTCTATTATGACTTTAACTAAACCAATCCTCAAAAAAATGGTCAAAGATTTAAAAAGATTCCTGCAAAGGAACAATTGATAGTAATAAAAATACAAGCACTAGAAAACAGAAGGAAAAAAGACAGAGCTGAAACTTCTGGTAGACACTCTCTGTCATGCATATTAAGAGGTTAAAAAATAATGATAATCAAAAAGCATTCGAAATGATCAAGATTTGAAATATGGCCTTACGTACACTATAATAACCCTTGAAACCTTGTCTAAGTGTCAAGTTGATTTCGACTCATAGCAACCCTACAGGACAGAGCAGAACTGCCCCCAAAGGTTTTCAAGGTTGTAAGTCTTTACGGAAGCAGACTGCCACATCTTTCTCAAGCGGAACAGCTGGTAGGTTTGAACATCGAACTTTTGGTTAGCAATTGAGCACTTTAACCACTGTACCACCAGCGCTTCTTAAGTGTAGTATAAGCCTTCTATAATAGCTAACAATAATATGAAACCACTAAGATTAGCAAGATATTAAAAAGAACTGTTTCTTCACCTTCTTTTATAATTTCTATTTTGGGCTTTTTAAGGTACGCAATAAATTCATACGTTACATGTATAATTTCTATATATACTCAGGGATGCTTGAAATGTTTTACTTCTGTGGAAGATCAAAAAAAAATTTAGAGTCAAATGCACTATACTACCTCACTAAAGTGCAAGATCCTACCTGAAACCAAACAAAATATGAAAAAAAGCTGGAATCCTTAAAAATTTTCTTCCTTTCATATAAATCGACCTGACAAAGTTAAATTATTTTTACTTTTTTCTTTTTCCTTTTGTGACTGACTTTATTTCGCTCAGCATGATGTTTTCAAGGTTCATCTGTGTTGTGGCATACATCAGGACTTCATGTCTCTTTATGGCTGAGTAGTATTCCGTTGTGTGTATATACCACTTTTTTGTTTATCCATTCATCTGTTGATGGGCATTTCAGCTGTTTCCGTATTTTGGCTGTAGTGAAAAGTGCTGCAGTGAACACTGGTGTACCTACAAGTTACTTTCTGCTTTCCTGCCTTCACTTCTTCTGGGTATATACCTAGCATTGGTACTGATGGGTCATGTGGTAGTTCTATGTTCCAATTTTTTGAGGAATCGCCAAACTGTTATCTACAGTGGTCGTAAGGGGTCTATTTTTATTTATTTGTTGTTAGCTGCTGCCACATCAGCCCCCTACTCATGGAGACTCCACGTACAATGCGTTCAGACCTTTGTGATCCATAGGGCTTTCACTGGCTAGTTTTTGGAAGTAGACTGCCAACCCTTTCTTCCTAGTCCTTCTTAGTCTAGAAGCTCTACTGAAACCTGTTCAGCATCATAACAACTCTCAAGTCTCCACTGACAGACAGGCAGTGGCTGTACATGAGATGGCCAGGAATCGAACCTGGGTTTCCTGCATGGAAAGCAAGAATTCTACCACTGAACCACAAGTGCCCTCTGTTTTTATATATGTTCTGGCCACTCTTCATTTGCTCATTCAGTCTCTCAACAATCTCTCTCTCAGCACCATTCAGCACAGAGACTGGCATGTAAACCCTCTCAGGTGTTTGCACAAGGAAGGAATCAAACTCTGTTCTGGGGGTCCTGTCTTTCCAGGTTAGGCATTTGCCAGCTTGGCTCTGTAGCCTGCGATGGTCTCTCTGCTGTGCTCCAGGCCAACCATCACCTCCGGGAGCTGGACCTGAGTTTCAAATGACCTGGGAGACTGGGGCATGAGGCTGCTGTGTGAGGGGCTGCGCCATCCCACCTGCCGACTCCAGAAACTGTGGTGAGGGGCTAGGGGTTAGGACTGATGGCTAGGGTGGCTGTTGGGGTGGGAGGGTATCCTCATCCCTCTTTTTCTATTTAAGGGTTATCCCCTCATCACTTTGGAAGACATAAGCAAACCAGGTGCTGTCGAGTCGATTCTGGCTCATGGCGACCCCATGCGTGTCAGAGTAGAACTGTGCGCCATAAGGTTTTCAACTGCTGGTTTTCTGAAGTAGATTGCCAGGCCTTTCTTCTGAAGCACTTCTGGGTGGACTTGAGCCTTCACCCTTTCAGTCAGCAGCTGAACACATCAACTGTTTGCACCACCCAGGGACTCTGAGCAGGAGAATCCCACAGAAGTGCTTCATTCCCAGGAAAGCAAACTACTTTTACTTTTTATTACAATAGTCAATATTAAAAATATTAAGAAATTCTCTTGGGTACAATTTATAACAAAAAGTGATGGCAACGTACATCTCTACAGTCATATGCACTCTGCCCCCTTCTCATTCTTCTACTCCACAACTCTTAATTTTGTGCAAGACTTAATCTGATAGACAAGTTCTGGCATAACCCAGAAGCACGAAGTAATCTTAAAAATCAGCTTTTCAAATTTGGCTAATTCATGATTTTTCTCCAATCAGATATTTTAAAATAAAATTTGACAGCTGAAGGAAAGAGAGTGATGGTGTCACCCAAATTAATGATCCACAAAAACTTTCCAAGGTAGGCAAGCAAGGAGAGTTTTAAGGCAGTTTCCAGATTTGTCTTCAACTTCCAGATGTAATTTTTGCTAAATTTTCACCATTCCCACTACCCGTTTCATAACTGCCTTTCTCCCATCCATTTAGAATCTTAATATAGTGCATTGCTCCCAGGCACCAAAGGACAACTGGAAGTATTGGTGAGATGTTGAGAAAGTGAATGACTACTTTTTTTTTTTTGGTGCAGTTTTTCCAATTCTTTGCTTTCGACAACACTGAAGGAACACCTGATGAGCGACAACACTGAAGAAACACCTGATGAGCTGTCAGCTACTGAATCATTTAAATTTTTATGATAGTTCACCATGTAATTTTCGACATTCAACTCCCTAATGAGTTCAAAGGTGGCAATGCTATAACAAAACTTTCATTCCCATCTATTCCCATTATTTATATGAACAAGGTTTCTCAGTACTCGTTGCTGTTGTTAGGTGCTGTTGAGTTGGTTCTGACTCATGGCGACCCTATGTACAACAGAACGAAACACTGCCTGGTCCTGCACCATCCTCACAATCTTTGTTATGTTTGAGCCCATTGCTGCAGCCACTATGTCAATTCATCTTGTTGAGGGTCTTCTTCTTTTCTGCTGACCCTCTACATTATTAAGTATGATAACCTTCTCCAGGGACTGATCCCTCCTAACAACATGTCCAAAGTCCGTAAGGTGAAGTCTCGCTCTCAGTACTTACATACATAAAAATAGCAGGAGTAAAACTGATGCTGAGCCTGAGCCATTCTTAAAAAAAGTAATATGTAGCCACAAGTAAATAAACTTCTAAAAGGAAAAAGCCTCATCACCTCACTGAGAGTATGTTAAAAAATATTCTAAAGTATAACAATGTCAAAAATTGTGTTTGTTATTTTTTGTCTACTATTACTTGTAACTAACTATAACTTACTCAAGAAGAAACATTTTAACACTTAGATTTATAATTTTTTAAAGCTTCAATGCCAATGTATATAGGTATTGTTGTTACAGAGAACTATGACAAGGTGGTCAATAAAAGACATTGAAGCATAAAAATACACTATTAGGACAGGATAAAATTATGTAGGGTAGGTACAAAGTTTTTTTTCAAAAATGTTTATTGGTGGTATGGGAAGAAAAAAGATCAAAGAACACTATACTATATTATAAATGATTCAAGGATAAAAGTCATCCCTTCATTTTCTTTTCTTTCTTTCCTCCTTTCTTTCATGAATCAGCCCTAAGGATAGAGGTGGCGTTTAATAAATGCTTGTTAAAATTGAATCATCATAATGAAAGCAAGTTTATGGTAAAGGAACTTAATAATCTGTATATACACTTACATCCAATTATTTCACACTAAATTGTTACAATTTTTTTTTTTTTGGAGTGGGAAGCAATTTCACAGTACTAATAAAAATTCCAAGAAGCCCTGGTGGTGCAGTGGTTAAAGTACTCGGCTGCTAACTGAAAGGCTGGCAGTTTGAACCCACCAGCTGCTCCGTGGGAGAAAGATATGGCAGCCTGCTTCCGTAAAGATTATAGCCTTGGAAACCCTATGGGGTAGTTCTACTCTGTCCTATAGGGTCGCTATGAGTCGGAATCGACTTGATGGCAACGGGAAGCAAAATTTCAAATGGGCGTATCTTTTAACTCAGAAATTCCACTTCTAGAAATCTATCCTAAAGAAACAACACTACAAATATGCAAAGATAGATAATATGTACAAGGATGTTCAATTTAGCATTATTTGTACTAGAGGAAAAATTGTAGAAAGCTTAAATGCAATCAACAGGGAAACAGTTAAATTATGACTAGTCTACCATAAACATTCTGTAGACATTTAATAGAACAAGTAGATCTATATATCTAATATCAAAGGATGTCTGTGATATACTGAATGAAAAAAAAAATCCATTTGAGAACATGAAAAGCATGATCCCACTTTTGCTTAAACACCCAAGGAAAATAAAGGTGGAAATACATGTATGCATGTGCTTTTAAATGGTTAAACTAGTTACTGGGGGCAGGGGAGGGTCATCAATGTTTACTATACGCACTTTCTTATTCCTTGAGTTTTTAGAAGCGTTAACTTCCTTTAGAATTACACAATTTTAAAATAAATTCACATTATTTGGAATTGGGTTGATAAAGCTGGTGATTCAAACAATCAAGTTTTAAAGTGCAAATCAGTTATCTATGCTAAGGGATAAAACTTAATGACTATGCTATCAATTTAAAGATCAAAAATGTCATGGAACAGACACTCTTCAATTACACAATATGTAAAACAATATACTTTTTTTTTTAACCTGATGTATAAATGTTACAACGTAGACCTTTACGTGGGCCACAATCCTCTGGCTACTCCCCAAAACCTTCTTTACAATTAAAGATAACTACTTTATCAAAAGAAAATCAAGAAGCCTAGAAGATATGATTAAATAACCAAGAGATGATTTATTTAAAAAACTCTCTCTCTCTCTTTAGAGATTACCTGCTCTTCAACCAAAGACTATGGTAACGATTTTACTGGGGAAAAAAAGTCTACTTTCAAAGAAAATTGCTTACTTTGATTTCTACCACTTTTGTTTTGACAAAAGTATCCAAAGCTAACACATTGAACTGAACAAGATTCAACTCTCAAAGACTTCACATATATCTATTCCAATCAGCTTTGTTCAAAGCAAACAAAAATAAGAAACAAACAAACAAAATTCAACTCTGATGTCAGCTGCCACATTTGAAGCAATGATCAAAATAAATCACGGCTTTAAAACACAAAATGCCTATCTGCTTTTTAAAAAATGGAAAAAAAAATACATCGGTCTTGAACTATGAGGACTGTAAATTAAGCTCAAAGCAAATAAATACGCGTAATAAGCATACAATTAACCGTAGTTACTTTTAGCAAAACGATGTCCCTGAAATAGTGATGGAATTCTATGTATTTCATCTGGGGTAGTGAGGTACTGGTATTTTAGCTTCTTTGGAAGTTTCTACTTATAAGTGAGTCAATTCAACCAATAGTTACTTAACTCCCATGGGTCGAGATTCAGTAGGGATTACAAAACTGAAAAGACCACATTCTCGGGGGGCCGATCTCTACTTCCGGACAGTAGGAGTGGAGGACGATTGCCCCAGATCGAGAACTAAGTACGATCCCCTCTTTGTGTTTATAAAAACTAAAACGATAACTATACTGCCCCACAGATCGCTCCAAAGTCTCCGGAAGAAAGGAGAACGGGCTGCAGGTGGCAGGCGGCCTCCGCTCCGTGCCTTTGTTGACTGACACCGCCCCCCACCTTCCCCGCCCCCCGAATTGGGGCTTCCGGCGCAAAGCGACAGGCGCCTCAAGGTTTGGGGGGAGGGGGTCCAAAAGCTGCCAAGGACAGCTCTGGGCTTCCGACCCGCCCGAGAGGATCGCTGGGCCAAGATGAACCGGCCCAGGCGGGGAGGGGAGCGGAGGGCGCGCGCGGGGATGCGAGCGCGCGCCGGCCTCACCTTAGACACCATTTTCTTGAGCTGGCTTTCCGACACTGCCATGGCGGCCGCCTCGCGACTCCTGTCCCCACAGGCAGAGGCTTAGCCGCTCCCGGGCTGCCCCAGGCCGCCCCACACAATCACACACCGACTAGCCAGCCCCCCACCCCCCAACCTCTAGCAACAGGAAGTCGACGGCCACGACAGCTCTTCCGCTTCCTCTACGTCACTTCCGAGGCTACCGTTCTAGGGAGAAGGTGAACACGATGTAGGACTGATGCCTACTGTGGGATGGGTCTGATCGACGCTGTCCCTCGTATGCTAGACATGGCGAGCCGGGAACAGTCCCAGTGGTGAGGGCAAATCTGTTCCAATGGTCTAAATTCTGGGCCTGGATAAGATTGACAGGTAATTCACGGTCGCCCTTAGACTAAGGAGACAGGTATAGGGAGAGGAAGAAATATGAAGGACTTGCGTATGAGTCTTAGTGACTGACCCATCAAGTAGGAGGGCACTGGACTGGGAGTCAGAGAATTGTTAGGCCACTGACTTACCTTCTGATAGAAGTAGTCAAGGGCACTTATAACGCGGGCTTTCTCCCCCCCACCTCCAACTCTAAAACGAGAGGCTTTCATTACAGGATGCCTGGGGTCTCTGATATATCAGGGGATTAAAACTTAATTTTAAGTTTGAAAACTCTTCATGCTACGTTCGGAAGGGCAAGGTGCAGAGCTTTGGTTTCACAGGAGTCCAGACAGTAAGTTATTCTCCTTTAGGAAGCCTTTCCTTTAAGTCAGAACTTATGCCTAGGCATAAATGATAGTACAGACTGCATTTTACCTTGCACTATAATTATTTACAACCAGAGTGTTCCTTAGAAGCGAGGATGGCAAGACTCTGACTTGCTTACTTTAGACATGGCATCAGGAAAGACCAGTTGCTAGAAAAGGACATCATGGTTGGTAGGCGGCCATGGAAAACAAAGGAAACCCTCAATGAGGTGGACTAACAATAGCCACAACAATGAACTCAAACACCAACGATTATGACAGGATTAGGCAACATTTTGTTCTATTATACATAACCAGGGCTGACTACAGCAATTAACAACATAATTATTTGTTTACTAGTCCACCCACCATTGAAGTCCAAGTCCTTGAGAACAGGTGATCTTCATATCCTCAGTGCCTTGTATAGTACAAGAGTAGAACTTGTTCTTAACTGAATTTCTGCTACCCATGAAAGTTCTTCATGGTCACTTACATTAGTCATTGTCAGTTTTATAAGCACACTGTCACTCATGGTATTGTAAAGATTGCGTTTTATGATGTCAAGTATAAGTTTGGATGATTTTAGACAGTGCGTATTAGGACAAGGCTGTGGTGTTGATTTCCTTCTAAGCTGGCCTAATTGAAAGCATGTGGAAGCATCATCATAAATTGTTGCCCACACACACACAAAATAAACCTATCCCAACAGGTATCATTTTTGGGTATGGATACCATATGTGAAACATACAGCTTGAGTCAAACCAAACCATAGGTGAATCTATTCTTCCACTGCATCTACTGTTTTATGTCACTTAAAAGCAATGTTGTGTTCAGACTGTTCTTAAAGCCACAGCTTTCTCAGGAGTATTTTCAATTAGAGCTTTTATGAATTGAGGAGGGGCATGGGGATTCCAGGTTTAAAAAGCTTTAGAAGTTTTTTTTTTACTAAAAATTAATTTTTTAAGTTAAAAAAAAAAAAACAACTGATAACATCCAGTCTCATTTGCACTGAAACCACTGGAAATAATATATCCTAAGTACTGGTGGTGTAGTGGTTGAAGTGCTCGGCTGCTAACCAAAAAGTCAGCAGTTTGAACCCACAAGCCGCTCCATGGGAGAAAGATGGGGCAGTCTGTCTCCATAAAGATTTACAGCCTTGGAAACCCTATAGGGGTAGTTCTACTCTGTCATATAGGGTCACTGTAAGTTGGAATCAACTCGACGGCAGTGGGTTTGGTTTCTGGGTGTGAATTATATGAAAGAACCTCTCCTCAAACTAAACAAATTTCTGTCCACTTAATAAATTAGGCATCACCAGGTGATTTAAAGTCAAGGTTTATTTTACTCATTATTCTTCTAATTTAAGGAAAACTACAGTGTAAACAGAAACATAACAGATTTATCTTCTGCTATAATATCAAAGAAGCACTAAAAAAATCGTAAGAGGCACCACATGATTCTGGAAAAAATGAAGAAATTAAAAGTTAATAGAAGCATCATGAATGCCATAGTATCACCAAATCATAGGGGAGTAGTGGTGGTGGTGGCACTGCTTCTTGACTTAAACAGGGGACTTACAACATGTTTGCTAATGCTCAATACTCAAGGAAATATATGATACAGAGAATTCTATATTTTGGGCTTCCAGAGGGCAAAGACTATATTATTCATCTTTGAATACTCAAATTCTAACATAATACTTGCAACAACAGAAGATGCTCAATAAGTATCTGTTGTATTGATGTGTTCCTTTTATAATTAGTGAATTCTTGGTAATTCATCTATTATACAGTATGTTGCAGTTAGGTTAGATATTAGAAAAGGCTAGTTTAAAAAAATACAAGAAATGGTTCAGTTTTACTTTCCTATTTCATACAAAAGGATAGTGAGGATACACTGTTACAGTAACACCAAAATGACCTGTGTAGTGAAATTACATATAACTAATGCTTACCTCTTCAAATATACAAGATTTTTATCCTAGTCATTTTTGGTAGAAATCTTCTCAAGTATATTAAATACTCTACTTTCTTAAACACGTGATACTGAATATAACCTTTTCTTTATGATTTAAGCTCATCCTTATAAACATCCATTATTATACTGACTCAACACTGGTTTGTTTCCTTTCTACCTAGGATGCGCCTGCCCTTATAAACCATCTGGCTACTGTCTCCCTGACCACTTTTGGATTTCCCTATTATATGCTTTCAAAGCATGTTGTACTTCACAGTACTTAACTACATTTGCTATTGTATATTTATTTGTGAGATTATTTGATTACTGTGTTTCCCATACTAGAATGTAAGGGCCATGAGGTCTTGTACCTTGTCCAGGTTTATTCAACATTGTGTCTGCAGTGCCTGCTATGGTGCCTAGTGAATGACTAAATAAATGCCTACCTCAGTGCATAACCTCTCTGCTATTTCCCAAGTCTGGGAAGCCAGGGAATCAATCTTTCAAAAAACTATGTTAAAAAAAGGAAAAAAAAAAAAAAAAAAGTAAACCCCTGTGTAAGAATGAAAGCAATTCTTCCACTTATACAGAACCCCAGCTTTATTGTCCGGTGATAACTATTCTAGCTGTTAGGCCTTTTCCCTCCTTTAGTGCCTAGAAAAAGTACAGGTTGTATGAATAAGTGCCACTTAATAGCCATGAAATCTTGGGAACTTAAAACTTCAATTTCCTCCTCTATAAAATGAGGATAATAGACACTACACCTCATTGGGTTATTAAGGATTCAATAAAATAAAAGTGCTCATGACACTGCCTGATATATAAAAAGTGTTGATGTTAGCTGTTAATATTAGTTGCCTGTTACAATAGGAATAATATGCTATCTTTCACTTATGAAGATATTGCTATTGACCCATCACCAAAGGGTACGCACTCTGAACCAATTCTTCAGGAATGATTAAAGGGTTTGCTCAGAACCATCAATCAGTTAATTCAACCTCTCTCCCATAAGACCAATTGTGTTCATGAATGCCTCATACTTTTGGCTTTAAAGTAAACTGCTTGGCTTTCATTTATAATCTATTACTATTAAAAACACATTTCCCTACAGTTCTAGTTTATCATCAGTTAGTTTATGAAATGTTGGAAAACTTACATAGCCAGGAAGAGGTTACAGAAAATTTCAGAAAGGACAGTTTCACTAGAAATTAAAGTATACTTTGTCTTTATATATTTAGAAATTTCACCTTCCCTTTCACTATTTAAAGTGCATGTAAAATTCTTTTCCATTTTTGGTAGCTAATTAATTTGAAGAAGGAAATAAAATGCTTTACCATTAATACCAACTACATTTTAAAGAAGAAACATTCATATCTTACCTTAAGCTATGGATCCTTTGAATGTACACTTAGCATGGACTTTGTAAATCCATACTGAGCCTTTAGCTATTAGTGTTTTTATTATAAAAGCCAAAGAATAATTTTCTTTTAAAGATGTATCACTTTCAAAGTATTCCCAATGTGCTGAATGTGCTTCTAGTTTAGGGGACACAGTTTAAAATGATAAACATTGCAGACGAATGTTCATCACAGCTGTAGGTTTAAAGAATGGTATACAGATCTTGAGAACACCAAAGAAAATTACATTTTTTTTAATCTCCATCTCTACCTCTCTCTAAGGATTCAAATTACAAAGCTAACGAAAAAGCTATCTACCTTCACCAAGCAGTCTGTAAGAATAAGACACAGAAGTTCTTAACCCTATATTTGTTGGCAAAATTAGATGACCTTTTAGGTAACTCTGCACTTTAGGATCAAAGTTTTAACTGCTGCTGGACACCATGGACTGATGATGCACTGCTTTGGAGTTTCTCAGTCACTGTATCTTCTTTCACTGTGGTTTTGATGACTTCTGATACACCATTGCTTCCAAGGATACAAGGCAAACTTAAAAACACTTCACTATTTATAGCATAATATCCCTGAAATGAAAAATGATGGTTATAGTAGAGCTGAACCACTGGGGAAAAAAAAAAGTTAAATATACTTTCTTACTTTTCTAGTCCTAGCACAGAGTATTACAAATTGAACTTTAAAAGTTTTTTTCTTTTGTTTCATTCTTTTCTAAATTCAAGATATTGTTTCGGAAATTTTTGACAGGAGGGACTTGGTCAAAGAAATTCTCTTTGTGAGGAGGTAAGCTGGAACCTGCAACGCTGATAGCAGGTTGAGGGCTATGAAAAAAGATGGTCAGTGTGGATTCCTTGGGGGCAGGGGGAGGGTACGGCATGGGCTCTGGGTGGAGTCAAACACAGTACCTGTTTTAAGTTTTCCTCTCTGTGTTACATTTCCCCTCCTGGTATTCCTAAGTCTTCAAAAAAAAATTTGGTTAAGCATTTGTGCCTCATCTTACCTGTGCTTTGTTGTTGTTGTGTGCTGTTGATTCTGACTTATAGCAACCCTACAGGACAGGGTAGAACTACCCCATAGGGTTTCCTAGGCTGTAATCTTTAAGGGAGCAGATCACCAGATCTTTTCTCCCACGGAGCCACTGGTGGGTTCAAACCACCGACCTTTTGGTTAGCAGCTGATTGCTTAACCATTCATTGCATCACCAGGGCTCCTTTACCTGTACTTTAAAACCAAAAAAACCAAATCCATTGCTATTGAGTCGATTCCGACTCATAGTGACCCTATACTTTAGGGAATTTATATTTGGGGTAAAGTAGTAAAGGAAAAACTGAACTATAGAAGACCGGTTGGCTGGCTAAAGTGACAAATGATGACCAGAAGTTGTTTATGAAGTATATAAGTACTTCTTGGGGATTCCAAAAATTACATTAGGGTTGGGGTTGGGGCTGGGGGTGGGGAATGAAGCCTGGCAGAAGCCTAGACTTCCCATAGTCAAGCAAGATAGAGCTTAGACTATACTGCCCCCTCCAAGTGTTACTCTAAAAGCTAGTGGCATTGAAGACAGAAATTTTGTGTGAATAGAAATTTTGTTGATTTTATATTAACAATATGAAAGTTTAAAAATATGATGAAAATGAGAATAGCAATTACCTTTGCTAAAACTGATACAGAATGCACTTTCTTTTTATTGTTCACAATACTGTCAACCAGGTCAGCTACCGACAGTCCGACAGACCAGGATCTTTGACCTTTTACTCTTAACAGTTCCATGGCTCTAGATTACCAAAGGAAAAAAAAAATCCAGAAAATGCACAGAATATGCACATGTAGTTTTACATTCTGTTTAAGGTATTAATTATTTTTATGGCATAAAAAAATACGAGTTATACAACAATTTTTAGGAAAGCCTACAGATAATCTAATGATTATTTACACTTTTCTTAAAACGCCAGATAGGCAGTTCCCAGACAGAAAATACAAATGGCCTAATAACATAAAAAGATCTCACTACCACTAATCTATAACTAAATATGAATTAAAACAATAAATACTGGTTTTGCCTATGAAAATTCACAAAGATTAAAATGACAGATAAATAATTTCAGAGAAGCTAGAGAAACAGGCATTCCCCTGACTGCTGCTAGAGTATAAAGTGATGAAACCTTTAAAGAGAGAGCAATATCTGATCTAGAAATTCCTCTTCAAGGAATTTACCCTACAGCAATATGCTCAAGTGTGCAAAGGTATACATACAAGCTTGTTTGTTATAGCCTTGTTTAAGATTCAAAAATTTGAAAACAACCCATTAAAAGGGGACCGGTTAACTAAATCACTACCAAATGTAAAGCCATATAGCTGTTGAGAAGAATAAGGTAGATTTATATCTACAATATGGAAAGATGTCCAAGATTTATCATTAAGAAAAGAAGCTGCAAGGTAGTGTGAATAGCATCAACCTATTTTTATAAAAAGTAATAATGATAATATGTTTGTGGAAGCATTGAAAATACATTCTGGACAAGCAGATAATGAACTGTTAACAGTGGTTGTCTCTGGAGGATACCACATTACCCCAGATTTTCACCTTCCACTTTATAGATATTTGCAGTATTTGAAGTTTTATAATAAACATACATTCCTTTTGTCAATAATAAAAAAATAGATGTAAATTAAACAAAAATGCTTGAATTTCTTCCTTTTAAAAACTGTGAATGCTGGATTTTATAGAGAATCAGACTAGAATGGATTATCCCACACAGCACTCTTCTCAATAAGAGAACATTCTTTCCAGTTGTTATATTCTAAAAACCATAAGCGAGAGTTTAAAAAGCTAACAATCTCCACCAATCACACTGCAGAAAAATCTGTTATTTATGATGGTGGAACAACAAATGGCATGAAAATACGTAGTGTGTAGTGTTCAACCTATGGGGCACAGATGCCTGAAGGCCTCAGAATTAAGGCAAAAGATAAAAGGAACTGTACACTACACTTTATTTTGCCTGAACATAAGATATGGCTTATTCATTTGTATTAGACTAATTTCCAAATACATTTATGTGTGATTAATAAACTGATATTTTAAATGGCATGGACAAATTCTCTACTACATTAAGAAAATTTTTAATCTCAGATATTTAGATATAGAAGCAGTAAATCACTGTTGGCAAGTAAGGAACCTCCTCTACCCTTTAAATGTCACCTGTGGATCTAAAAGTTTGCAAAGCACTCTTAGACTTACCTTCAGGTAAGAAATCAAAGAATATAAAACACTGCTCCCTTGTACTTTTGTCCATACTAGCTAGTTTTGTTTGCAGAAACCTGGTTAAGTACATGCTAGTAAATAGTGTCATGTTAGCTATGAAGTTACATAATTTTTTGCCGGATAAATGCAAATCTGCACTCAGTATTACCTGTTGGACAGCTGCACCTTAGAGTTATGACTCATTGCTTCTTCTTGGCCACCCCATGTGAGCACTAAAAATTAAATGAAAAATTATATTTTGCCAATGACTCTCTTGGGAAAAGGTGTAATAAATGATCTTTTGCAGTCAAAAAGTACCTGTATTAAACTTTATATAAAAGATTCCCTCCCCGCCCCCCGCAACAGTTACATTTTCCCACTGATGGCAATAAATGTGCTGCACTGATTGCCTGGCACAAGAAAAAACTTTGTGAGCTATAATCCCCAAAGCCTACTCAAAGCCTCCCTCCCTATTCTCCCTCATTAATTAATAGAGCTCTACAACAGCCATTTTACTGTTCAAGTAGAAAGCGTTCTTTCCTCAGCAGGCTGTGTACAACAGGTTCTCAAGTGCTGCAAGCACTTGGCATTTGTTCTGGGAACTGCACTAAGGTGAATTTCTTTTACCAGGTGAGAAATAATTTGGTCACTTATTTTGGGCTAGAATTTCCACAGCTGTTAAACAGGCAGGGTCCTGTTTTCTAAGAACATCTTCTGGGCTACCCATTTCCTCTCACTCGTATCATTCATAAAAACAATCCAATAATTCCAAGCTGTGTGCATGAACTGGATATTTATACCATATTTGAATATTATATCAGAATTGCCACTAACATTTTGAAACCTTTCCAATATTCATTTGCTTCTCATCTGTGTGAAGACATTATTTGGTACAAATAATTGGTATTTGGGTAGGTGAAACAAAAATACATTCAAATATATAATATCTTATGGTTAAAATACAAATTTGCTAATCCACATTCAAAATTAGACCACTTCGTGACAGTTTCTGCACCATGTGTATCCAGATACCTCCCTTACTCAAACTAATTATAAGCTTCTGGAGGGCAGGAACCACGTGTTCTTCCTTTCTGTCCTCCACCATATATTCTTTAGCATAGTGTTAGGTACACAGAACTGGCCTTGCACACAATCCAGAATTTATTTTGTAACAGAAAGAAAAACATATGTTGCAACAGTAAGTGAAAAACATGGAAGTTTTTATGTTATGGAAAAAAGTAAAACCAAAAATAATTATATAAAAAAATAAAAATACATGTGGACAGAAATATAAGGGATTTTTTTAAAAAAGTTTTACTTAGGTGGGAGGATTATACATGAATTATTTTCTTTAAAAAATCTGGAACATTAGTATATTCACAATACATAAAAAATTTGGGAAAAAATGATTGCTAAATGAAATACAACATTTACAGACCTTGGAAAGAGGAATAAAAGGAGCAAGGTAGGTTTAAGAAAAGAGAAAAGACACAAAAAAATCTGAAAATTTTATTACTGGCATTTGGTTTATATATGTATAACGTTCTTTATCTTTCCTCTCTGAGTCCTGACTTTTAAGAGCCATGCAAAAAAAATGTTCAGGAAGCAGGAAAAAAGTGTTCACAGTGTTCAAATTTGCTGTGACACGGTCATTAAAATTTTAAAATAAGGTTACTCCATTGCCGTCAAGTTGATTCCAACTCATAGCGACCCTATAGGACACAGCAGAACTGCCCCATAGAGTTTCCAAGGAGCGCCTAGTGGATTAGAACTGCCGACCTTTGGTTAGCTGCCGTGGTAGTACTTAACCACTACACCACCAGGGTTTCCAAAATAAGGTTAGATAGACCTAACTGTTTCATTTTCTGCTTGCTTACTGTCCAGCCCTTAGACTTCCTAAATGTATCTACAATCTAGTTTACGCAGCCTTTTCAAATAGTGTGCTTAATTAATTCTGATCTTTTTGGTTCTACTCTTCAAGAACAATAATCCTCTGGCCCCAAAAATTTTAATGAAAAATGACTGTGGAATAGTTCTTTTCCATTATATACAACACCTACACCTTAGATAAATGCCCAAAACAGGTGATCTAACACTGCTCTGAGGTTGAGTCCTTGGATTCCTAAAACACCATTTGAAGAGGTTCTCTGAAGTTTACATATGATTTCAGTGTCACAGCTGAAATAGCAGCTCCACAGCATATGTTCTGCTAACCATTTAATTCAGTGTGGCATGATATGAATGACCTTTGGTCACAACAAGGAAGTGGCAGGAGCATTTGTTCATTTCTAAAAACATCATTTACTGAGGCCTACTATAGGCTATTACAAGCTCAAGGAGCTTAACGCCTGGCAGGGGGAACAAACAGGCAGATATACAATTATAACAGTGTGATTAATAGTTATAATAGAGGCATGCACTTACTTAAGCTGGAGAATTAGGGAAGGCTTCCTGGGAGAGATGGCACTCAAGCCCAGTCTTGAAGGGTAAGCAAGAGTTAGCCAAGTGAATGAGGATTCAGGGAGAGGAAGCAGCAGGTACAAAGGCAAGGAGGCATGAGAATGCATGAGCTTTTCAGGAAACTACAAGTTGACCATCTGACTAGCATAGAATGTCTGGCAGAATAGCAGAAGATGAAGCTGGGAAGGGAAGCAGGAAACAGATCCTAAAGGGTCTTACATGTCATGTGATGCCTCCCCCAGGCTGTAGCTGCCATCTGTGAAATACTCTATGAGAATTTTTTTTTTTTTTACTTATACAACTGCTATTCTTAACAACTTTGTTTCCCAATCCTAATGTTTTACTTCAAAGTATGAGTTTTCATGTCCTTTTGCCGATTTTCTATTCATTACCATCTTGCCAATCACAGTAATAACAGCTATCATTTACTGAATGTTTGCTGTGCCAGACACTGTGCTAATGCTTTAAGTTATCGCATTAAATCACAGCAAGAAAAAGCACAGTTTTGGAGTGAGACAGATCAGGCTTCAAATCTCAGTTCTGTCCTTACTAGATATGTGACTCTGGGCAAATTACTTAACCTCACTGAGCTGTAAATTTCCTCATAAATAAATCGGGTATTTTTAAAATTTAAATGATATGCAAAGCATTTAATACAGAGCATGACACACAGTACACCTGTTGTTGTCGAGTCAATTTCAACTCATAGTGACCCTACAGGACAAAGAACTGCCCCATAGGGTTTCCAAGGAGCGGCTGGTAGATTCGAACTGCTGACCTTTTGGTTAGTGGCTGAGCTCTTAACCACTGCACCACGGGCTCCTAACACACAGTAGGCACTCAATAAAAAGTAACTAGAATTGCTATTATTGTGGTGGTGTGTCACTTATGCAAATAATATAACCAGTGATTGGCCTCCGCTGAAGTCAAAGTAGAGAGCTCAGAGTATTGATGACTACATATGAAGCTGCAGAGAAAGCCTCTAATCCATTTCTGGCTCCAGGGGCAAGGTAAGCATACCTATCCATGAATCTAACTACCTCTGAAACAAGAGTAGCAGACAGGATAAAACGTAATCTGATACTGGTTACCTCCAGATGGGAGACAGGGAGATGGGCTGGGGGGAAGCACATAGATAGCTTCAGTGGTATTGGTAATGTTACAGTTCTTAAATTGAGTGTGGATTCATGAGTGTTTGCTCTATTATTATGCTTTAAAACTTACATACACATTACATGTACTCTTTTATATATATCAAATATTATATAATACTATATTTAAGTGACTTGAATTCAATGCACCTACATCCCTCTATTTCTAGTTCCCGTTTGATAGCTCAAGACAGAATTACCATATCCCTTCCCTGTGCTTTTCTCCTAGTTTTCTTGGACTTCTCTCATAGTAAGTCAACACTGCCTTCTATTATAGTCACTTCCTGTATTAGACTCTGAGCTCCCTAAACCCAAGGACTGGTTCTTACACATCTATGTAGCTCTAATAGTAGCTAGCACAGTGCCTTAGGCAAAGCAAGTGCTCAAATATTTTCTGAATTAAATTCCTGCATTTGGGATAAAAGTTCATTTAATCAAACACAAACTGCTTTTTGGTAAGTGTGAAGAACTCATAATCAAATTCCTATTATATTCTTCCTTTACTCAGATATACTGGCTTGGGGTAGGGGATTATTTAACAACTCACACCATCCTTTATTTTCTAAGAATTGAAAAGCAGTACAACCATAATTTGAAATGTTCTTATTCATTCAATATTTATTGTATATCCACTATGTATAGTGTATTCCTCAAAAATTGTAACTTAATTAACAAGACTGGCAAAATAAATTATGGTATATCTAGTTTAAGAAAATGAATGAGACATGTTATTATGCATTTATTTTCAAGTCACATTGGTAAGTAAAAGGACAAGGAGGCGAATGATGTAAATAAATTATGGTATATCTAGTAGTTTAAGAGAACAAATGAGACTCATGTTATTATGCATTTATTTCCAAGGCACATTGGTAAGTTAAAAGACAAGGAGGGGAATGATGTTATTTCATGTGTGCTTGTCTATGCACAGAATGGAGCCCTGGTGGCGCAGTGGTTAAGAGCTATGGCTGCTAACCAAAAGGTTGGCAGTTCGACTCTACCAGTTGCTCCTTAGAAACCCTATGGGTCTAGTTCTATTCTGTAATACAGGGTCGCTCTGAGTCGAAATCAACTTGAGGGCAAGAGGTTACGCACAGAATATTTCTGGAGGGTTACACAAGAAACTGGTAACTGTGATTGCCTCTGTGAATGGGTATCTGGCATAGAGGGGAGAATTATTTTTCAATACATATCTTTTAGTACTATACAGTTTTTTGCAATGAACATGGATTACTTTTTCAACTAAAAAAACAGCTTATAATTTACACTTTCAATAAGGAAAAGGTACACACAAAAAATCAAATTGGATAAGAACAAAGAGCAGTATAACAAAAGAAGAAATGTCATGAGACAGTATGTAGTTAATTACCATATAAACAACAATTGCTTTTAGCTTCAAGGAAGAAATCACTGTGGAGTGATGTGGTCAGGGAAAGTTTCATAGCATAAGGGGGACGACCTAGATCTTGAAGAATGAGATTTGGATATGCTGTGTGTTGCGGGGAGGGGGAGAGGGATTATAGGGGAGGAAAATGCAGTGGCCAAAGGGCTCTGTGGCTGAAACAAAGCTGTGGGGTAGGGCTAGGAAGCGTAAGACCCGAGTTCTAGTCTTTCTTTGACCCTAAAAGCTGGAGGCTCCTGGAAGGTCATGCTTAACTTTCCTGTATCCATTGCTGGATCCCTAAAACAAAAGGTAATAGATGATCCCTTGGGTCCCTTTCAGCTCTATAATAACATGGCTACCTCCATAACTACAGTTTGGAAGGAAGATGAGGGTTATATTTTGGGGCTCCCTGAGTGACAAGAAAAGGTATTGGTTTGATCACAGGAAGCCAGTGAAAGTTTTGAAAAAATGATTATGTTTTAGGAAGATTAATTGAGTTAATATGTGAAAGCATCCAGTAAACACTATGTAAGTTATGGCTAATATTATTATTAGTCCAGCATCTTTTACAAGGCAGACTAGAGAGGAAGAGCAAACTAATTGGGAGATTTGCAGTAAGCCAGGCAACCAAGAGATCGACATGGGTCAGAACTTGAATGGTAGTAGAGAGTAAAATTCAGGGTCTTGGATTTGTTTGATTCCCTAGACATTCCTTTCTCTAATAAATCTGCTCCAAGTTCTTTGTTTCCTACCATATCCCAGGGTCCTATTGATTAGTGTTAGTGACAACAAGCATTTGGAGCCTGAAAAGTACTTCTGCTCAATCATACTGTCAGGTTTTTTAAGTGTTTATTCTATAGCCTGACTCTTTCTAGTACTGATCTTTCTAGAGTTATACAGGTTTAAAATACTGCTATTATTTTATTAAAATAATTTTCTTAAAAATTATACAACTACTACCTATCCATAATGGCAAAATTAGAAAACACAGAAAAGTACAAATTTTAAAAAGTAACTTACCCATCTGAAACTTGTAGAAAAGTAAATACAATGAGATGACATATTTGAAGACTCCATTTACAATACAAGGCCTGCTACCCAGAAGGCAGTTAATGCGGAACAGAAGCCAACCAAGTGCCACAATTCTGAACTCCCTGGATACACCTGAATGCCATGAATACTGTCATTTAGGTTTTCAATATAACTAATAAAATGTTATTTCTCACCTTTGTCTTCTCCTTGCTCACCAATAACCCATACTTCTTTTCCTGAAGTCTGTGCTTTCAAAACATTTGTAATAATATATTGTAATCTCTGTGAATCTAGATTACATCCAATTCCAATCACTCGATTTTCAGGAAATGCACTCAGCTTCCATGTCACATAGGTCATGATTTCCACTAAGTTGTGCATGCAAATTGAAAACATAAAGGTTATTTTTCATATACGTCTAGCCTAGCTCACAAAAAAATATTTACTATTTTAGTAAGTATATTAGTGCTTCTAAATACTCTTCTTAGGTGCAATATGCACCATGAAGTATAACATCTTTTTTATGTATATCAAAAGCATGAAACAGGTTTCAACATGATTTTACATAACTTTGTTGTTAAATATAAGGAACCCTCGCTGCGCAGTGGTTAAGCACTGGGCTGCTAACCAAAAGGTCGGTGGTTCAAAACCACCAGCTGCTCCACAGGAGAAAGATATGTTAGTTTGCTTCCATAAAGATTACAGCCTTGGAAACCCTATGTGGCAGTTCTATTCGTCCTATAGGGTCGCTATGAGTTGGAATAGACCTGACAATGAGTTTTAGGGTTCTTAAATATAAATTAAGACTAGAAAATACATCATTTCCTAGAATAGTTAAGCAAGGAGGATAAAACGGTACAGAAGACCAGAGAACAGTAATTTCTTTTCGTATCGAGTTCTCTTTTATATGTCTTAACAAGCTGAATTTCCATCTTTAAATGAAAACACTAATTCATATACCATTATGCAGTATAACATTATGAGCAAAAACATACTTTTTTCTTACATGCCAAAAAGATGTCAGGAATTGAGACCAGTGTCTCTCAATCAATTACTATAGAAAAACAAGCAAAATGCGTATCATGCTCCAAACACATATTGCATGCACTTAAAAAGTTTGTTTACCAATTTAGATCCAGTATCACCCAACTCTTTGAAAATATATACATATATTTTTGTGCTTTAGGTGAAAGTTTATACAGCAAATGAGTTTCTCATTAAACAGTTAATATACAAATTGTTTTGTGACACTGGTTGCCAACCCTGTGCTGTGTCAACACTCTCCCCTTCTCCACCCCAGGTTCCCTGTTTCCATTTGTCCAGTTTTCTTGTCCCTTTCCGCCTTCTTGTCTTTGCTTTTGGGCTGGTGTGCCCATTAGTCTGGTATACATGATTGAACTACAAAGCACATTCCTCACATGTGTTGTTGTTGACCCTATAGACCTGTTTAATATTTGACTGAAGGCTGAACCTCAGGGATGACTTCAGTATTAAGTTAAGAGGCTGTCTGGGGCCATACTCTCAAGATTTCTCCAGTCTGTCAGACCAGCAAGCCTGTTCTTTTTTTTGTGTGTGAATTTGAATTTTGTTCTACATTTTTCTCCTGCTCTGTCCAGGACCCTCTATTGTGATCCCTTGCCAGAGCATTTGGTGGTGGTAACTGGGCACCATCTAGTTGTTCTGGAAAAGTATTTCTTTTTTAAGTAAAATAGTTCCAAAGCAATTTACAAACTACCAAATGTTTAAAATGCACTTTGTCACTCTTGCTAACATTTTATGATACTTTAGAGTTAACAGAGATCTTTCACATAACTCATTACACTTTTCTCCTGAGTGTTTTACCATTTTCCCACCAAGAAAGGCATGGCTGACAACCTGGAATATAATACCATGTTACAGAAAAAATTTGAAGTTATAACCTTACTAGCTAATATCAGTAATAAGAGGTAACTGGCTGACAGGATGTGGAAATACTGTATTATTCATTATAAGAGCAATTTAACTGAATAATGTGTAGCTGTCCCTTTATAAAGGAGCCCTGGTAGTGCAATGGTTAAAACAATCGACTGCTAACCATAAGGTTGGTGGTTTGAAACCACTAGCGGCTCCGTGGGAGAAAGATGTGGCAGTCTGGTTCCATAAAGATTTACAGCCTTGGAAACTCTATACAGTCACAATGAGTCAGAATTGACTCAATGGCAGTGGGTTTGGTTTGGGTGGCTCCCTTTATAATATAAAATTTTATAACTTTATCAGTAATGGAAATTCTACTGATACACTGGGCCATCAAATTAATTTAAAATAAAGACTTTTACCTGGTTGAGATGCGACGAGCAGGACACCATGTTGACTGTAATGTCCCAGAGCTGGGACAAGGGCTCTAAACATATCCACATTGCTCTGCACCACATCAAGGTAGGACTGAGAACTACCCAGAGAATTGACTGTGAGGATCACCACCTTGGAACGAGCAGACGCAGACAAATCTAATGAATAAAAAGAAACAGTCTGAGCTCAAGATCTAGGTTTTAATCAAGTTCTAGTTCATGACAATAATGTCTTTTCTACAAGTAGAGAGCTTTTAGGCACATTTGTCCCCAGATCAATCCTATCTCCACAGGAAGTATACAGCTCAGAAGTTGCTGAGGTTTGCATCCAGAAAGAGAGATAAGAGCAAGAGTGCATTCAAAGAAGGAAAGATAGCAATAAAGATAAATAAAAGATCCAGAACCTATAAACAAGGACTTACTGCTTTTACGTAATTTATAATTTTCTAAGGCAAAATAAATAATATGCTATAGACAAAATGAACCTATAATCAATTATATCTATGATTTTTAAACTGTGAGCTTAAAAGTCCTAGAATTCCCTGAAAGTGACTCTGAGGTCATCTGGGAGGAGTGGTGAGAAGTGGAAAGAATGCTGGTAGTTAGGGCTCCAGGTCCTTTATTTTGACCTCTTCAAGCAGAGTAGCTCTGCTTTCATCTGTCTTATTTATTAAGGATTCTACTCCAAAGGCAAAAAAAAAAGGCTTGACAAAGTATCTTGGCTCATTTGTAACCAACTCTTTATTATACTGAAGCCCAGCTGTCCTTGGTTTTAGGTTCTTCTTTCAACGGGACCTGCAGGTAAACAACTTTTATGACTTCAAAAAAGATGGTCTATAGAGTTCAATCCTGTGATCCTCAAGCACACATATGCTATTTCACAACTACATTACTCTCTACTGCACAGTGTGTTTTGCAGTAAGTAAATGGGGTAATGGGAGTGACTGCTTAATGGGTATGGAGTTTTCTTTTGGGGTGATAAAAATGTTCTGAGACTAGATAGTGGTTATGCTTGTATACCATTGTTAATGTACTAAATGTCACTAATGGTAAATTTTATATTATGTGTATTTTAGCACAATAAAAAAGATAAATATATACTATTTAGTATAAGAATAGGTACGAACTAGTTCCCACCAGGTCCCCCATTCTCTACCCGTGAAGCAACTATTCTTACCAGTTTCTTAGTGTTCTTCCGATTCACTCTATTCATGCACAAGCATCACTGTTTATGTATGTATGTATATGTTTGCATGTGTATTTGCATGCTCATATGTACATATGTATATCCTCTCAAAAATGTTTTAATAGCTATTTAAAAAAACCTAAATGGAGCAAAGTACAACTCTAGGATGACCAGTCAGTTGCAATAATCTATGCCTGTCATAATGGGTCATTATTAAAGTTTCCAAATGAGCTTTATTTCTCAGAATGATTAATGTACTTCTTCATGCCATAGTAGATATTTATTAGATGTTACCATATTTAAAATTACTTCATATAATAGTAATTAAATTAAGTGCTATTAGGAATATAAAACCAAAAACAAAATCCACTGCTGTCAAGTCCATTCCAACACATAGCGACCCTACAGGACAGAGTAGAACTGCCCCATGGGGTTTCCAAGGCTATAGATCTGTACAGAAGCAGACTGCCGCATCTTTCTCCCACAGAGCAGCTGGTGTGTTCAAACTGCTGTCCTTTTGGTTAGCAGCCGAGCACTTTAACCACTGTGCCACCAGGGCTCCTATTGGGAATTTACAACACCAAAATTAATAAGGGGGACATGAAAGTTGTCCGAAGATGATGTATATTCATTCAACATTCAACAACCAATTACTAAATCCCTACTAGGTGCCAGGCACCATGTGCTATACATCTACTCCAAGGATTCTATTCTTTCAATTATCTGAAGCAATAGTTATTGATGGTTAATGAAACACATAGGAAGAAACAATCTCCTCAGGTCCTAAATGGCCTCACAACCTCTAGAGTCTGACTTGGAAGAGTTAAGAAGTCCCTTAGGAACGTCAGTACCTGGAAATCATAGGCACAAGAGAATATCCAGCTCCCCAAGGGATCCTCTACATGAGACCTATAAAAGGATCATTAAAGCAACTCTTGTACTCTTTCCAGAGTCAGAAAATGAATATGTTGTATCCTCAGGGATCCAGAGGCTTACTAGTACTATTACAACCAATTTTTCTTTTTATTGTGGTAAAACATATATAACCTAAAATTTGCCATTTTAACCATTTTTTAAGTGCACAATTCAGTGACATTAATTACATTCATAATGTTACACAACCATAACTTCTATTTTTGAAACTTTTTTATTGCCCCAAACAGAAACTCAGCACTCCTTAAGCAATACCTCTCATTCCACCCCCTGCCCCTGGTAATAAACTCTGGTTTCTATGCATTTGCCTATTCTGGATATTTCATATAAGTGGGATCATACAATATTTGTCCTTTTGTATCTGACTTATTTCACTCAGCGTAATGTTTTCAAGGTTCATCCATGTCATAGCCTGTATAAGAACTTCATTTCTCTTTATGGCTAAATAATATTCTACTGTATGGATATACCACATTTTATTATCCATTCATCTGTTCATGGAAACTTGGGTTGTTTCTACCTTTTGGCTATTGTAAATAATGCTGAAATGAACATTGGTATACAAGTATCTAAGTTCCTGCTTTCAAATCTCCCAGATATATACCTAAAAGTGGAATTGCTGGGTTATATGGTAACTCTGTTTAACTTTTGAGGAACCACCAAACTGTTTTCCACAGTGATTGCACCATTTTACACTCTCACCAGCGATGGACGAGGGTTCCAATTTCTCCGTATCATCTCTAAAACTTATTTCTTGCCTTCCCCGCTTTTTTAAAATAACAGCATCCTAGTGGGTGTGAAGTGGTATCTCACTGTGGTTTTAACGTGCATTTTCCTAATATGACTAATGATGTTGAGCAAATTTTCATGTACTTATTGGCCATTTATATATCTTCTTTGGAGAAATGACAACCAGTTTTTATAACACACAGGTATAATTTCAACTTTTCTGATCCACTGTTCCTAATTCATTCAGGCTTGTGAGACCCTGTGTCTCAATATTTATTTGGAAAATATGGGAGATGAATATATTGGACCTAAGGAAAGGCAAAGGAAGGAAGGCCAAACGACTGTAACATATTATAATCTGATCACAAGTATAACCTGGAAGAAACGGTTAAGGAAATATGTCTACTGCAGTTTATTGGTCTTTCAACAGTTTTTGACCATGCATCTCTGTGAGTAAAATATTTTTAAGCTAATATTTTTATAACAATTACAAAACATATGCAAAATTTCTAAAAATTACAAGGATGAGACAAAGAAAGTAACTTTTTAAAACATTTTACATTTTATTTTTAATGATACAAAAACTCTTCTTATTCTTATTAAAACTTATTATTAACAATATATTTTTAGTGAAAGCAATGTAAATTCTTTTTCTTAATCTTGGTTTACCAGTTGGCTATATACTAAGAGGTGTGTATTATTCCCACTTTACAGGTAAGAAAATTGAAGTTTAACAGACTATATAACCTGAGAAATTTTACAGAGCTAGGACGCAAATCCCTACCTGTCTAATTGTAAAACTACTGGTCTTAATTAATATGAGAAAGGAAGCAACCAGAGAAAATAAATTCCTATTAAGGTATAAATCAGAGACAAAGAATAAGTCCTCCTGACCAATCTGAATGTTATCCGCTCATCTGACTCTTCTTAATATAATCAGTTATAATCTCTGTATGAAATTGGGCAAGCCACTTAAATTATTTGAAACTTAGTTTCCCAATATGTGGAGCCCTGGTGGTGCAGTGGTTAATAAATCAGCTGATAACCAAAAGGTCAGCAGTTTGAATCCACCAGCCACTCCCTGGAAACCCTATGGGGCAGTTCTACTCTGTCCTACAGAGTTGCTATGAGTCGGAATCGACTTGGCAGCAATGAGTTTGGTTTGGTTTTGGTTCCCATTATATAAAATGAAGGATTTGGGGCACCAAGATGGTGGAGTACTCAGACGCTTCCAGTGGACCCTCTTACAACAAAGACCCGATAAAACAAGTGATTCGATTATATATGACCATCTGGGAGCCCTGAACATCAAAGGCAAAGTTGAGGAACCAGACTGAGTGGCAGGGGGAGGGAGAGACGGTTCGGAAGCAGAGAGGAAGTGCCAGACCTGACCCAGTGAGAGACTGAGCCCCTCAGGCCTGATCAGCTCGGGAGTGAGCGGTGAGGCAGGCAAGCAGCCATGCTCGGGAGGCGTATTCTGCACAGGAAGAGACCCAGCCGCTGAGAGTCTAGCCGGCCATGCAGAACCAGTGAGAAGCAGCCCTCGATCGCCGAAAGATAAGTATTTGCGTCTGACCTACCATGCGTATCAAAAACACCCGCTTTAGGGAAAAACCTCTATCCCATTTACCTCCCCACTCCCTGCTCTGCGTTGGGTCCTGACCCAGGTTCAGCAATTGCCAAGTCCTCTGGGCCGGAAGTAGGATCCGTCACATGCCCTGAGCCATTCTCCCTGCCTTGGAGAGTGAACAAATTAACAAATGGGAAAAAATGAACTGCCGGCACCCCTAAGCCAGGAACTCAGGGTAGGCACAGCTCTTTTGCCTAGACACAAGCATAAGGGACACACGGACTTTGAGTGCCTCATCCCCTGCATAGACTTGTGTAGGCCCATTTCAACATCGTAGGCACTCATTACCGCAGTACAACACAGTATATACCTGAAGTCTAACTTGAACTGTTTCAGCTGTGAAGTGGAAGGTTCGTGATATTTGACTCTGCTCTGCCCATTAAGCAGGGTCTTCACCTACCCACATCAGGAGCCTGAGGACTGGTGGCTCCACCCATGCCACCTAGCCACCTGCAATAGGGGCCCAAGAATAAGAGGTGCCCCCAGTCCTTACAGCCAACAGCACAGGGTGCTCACGGTCCAGCTGCAAAACCCACCCACCTACATGCTCCAAGGAACAGGGACATGCCTTCCTTCTGGACACTCGGGGGCAGCTGTCAGCCCCCTGCCTTGCTCAGAGTGTGTCCCCCTGCTGCAGCCAGATGCCTGTGCCTATACCAACCATCCATGCCTGTCTAGGAC